AATTTGTTTATCTAAGAATTGTTCTGAACGGAACATTTTAGAGCTGGAAAAAGAAATGTAATGGTGACGCTGTTTCTTTAGCTTCACTCAAACAAATGGTACCTTTTTGCATTTCTGTACTGTAATTTCTTTATCAGCTATAGTCTGCCAATAGTCTGCTTCAAGGTTGTGGGCTCTAATAACTATGGCTTGTATGCACTTACATACCTGCAAGCATGAGGCCAAAAAAGTTAGAAGAAGTTAATTCTTACAAAAAAGTCAAGTAAGCTTATGTCAAGGTTTACTGAACAACAACAAGCTCAGCAAACCCTTCTGTGGATAATTAACAGCTAATAATATTCAAAGTCGGCACACCACCTATCACTTCAAACACTGAGGAGAGGTTTTTAGACAATATCTGCAGTTGGATTTGAGGTAGAAGAAGAATTGAGGAGAAGAGAAAAAAATGGGGGGGGGCAAGCTGGGTAGAAGAATACAAAGAGATGAAAAGGGATCAATGACTGAAGAAAAATAGTGGGTACACAGAGGAGAAAGGAGAGAGCTGCGAGAGGGAGAGTAACAAAGTGAAAGAGAGCGAGCAGCACTCATGAGCACTGCTCACACCATGTAAGGCTTTATTCAGAAACAATGAAACAAGCCTTGAGAGAAATATCTCTGAGTGTCACATTCTCGCCGTCTCCATGGTTTTAGTATTTCCTGCTTGGCTATAACTGACTGCTGTAGAGATGAAGGCAGATGCTTGCGTAGGCTGAGCTGTTTGTGGGGAATCGAGGATTAAAAGGGCATTGAGAAGCGGCGTAAACACAAGCCAATCAATCTCAGCTGTTGAATGCAGACTTGGTTCTGCCTCTGCTTATTAAAAATCTTGTGGTACCTTCGCTGTTTGGTTTGAATGCTAAGTGTCAGCTTTCTGAAAGTGCGCTGATCCTGCAAACTCTCTTACTATAGGTTATCTGGAGGTATGTACGAGTTTTAAAGAGCTTTCTCTTGCTGTCTCGAATGGAAACGAAATTCATTTCTTAAAACACAACTTCCAAAAAGTATATTTCTGCCTGCACTTCCTGCAGCTGGGGAAACTTCTGAAACTATAAATGGGCAGAATAAGAGGAAGGACAGCAGGAAATTCATTGATAAGCAACTTAAATTCCAACTGTGTTTATTAAAGCAGACGTGATGCCTCCTGCATGACTAAACCTGTTCTGTTTTAATCTACAAGTGGACATGTAGTGCAAATAAAACCTGTCTGCTCAGACAAACAACGAGCTGTTTAGCTGACTCAACTCCCCACAGTCAAACACAATCCCAGCAGTGCTAATGAGGAAACTCATTAAAACATTATTCCACTAATATCTCAGTCAACATTCCTGTCTTTACATACTACATATGAAATAAAACAAACTCAAAAGTAGAGATGACACTTTAGTTGATCCATAGAAAAATTTTCGGCAAAAATTTGATGAATTGATTAATTGTTGAAGCCATTTATCAAGCGACATATGTCAAGTATCCTCTCTTCCAGCTTCTCAAATGTGAAGTTTTGATGCTTTTCTTTGCCTAACGTGACAGTAAACTTAATATTTTGGGGTTTTAGACTGTTGGTCAGACGAAACAAGACATCTAAAAACTCCACCTCAGAATTATGAACATTGTGATTGCCCAAACAATCGATCTGCTAATTGAGAAAATAATCAGCAGATTCATCGATCATTAAAGGTTCAGTGTGTAGGTTTTCGTGGCATCTAGTGAACTGCTTAGGTACTGCTCACCCCGCGGAGGGGAGGAGAAGCTGTGGTGGGCGTCACGCTCTGTCGGCTCTTGTGCTAAATAATATAATGTGGGCCTCCATTTGTCTAAATTTCACATTTCTTCTTTATTCTAACAAACCAGACGTCTACTACTTCTTCTTCTTTTGTTCTTTGTTTATTCAGCGTAGTGACAAAATGCGCTCTATAGAGCAGTTTGTACATTTGGGCTACTGTAGAAACATGGCGGTGCAACATGGCAACGTCCATATCAGAGGACTTGCGGTGTGTGTAGATAGAAGTGGCTCATTCTAAGGTAATAAAAACATAACGGTTTATTATGTAAGGTCTTTAAACACCACTTAAAACATAGTTATGTATATTATATTGTATTTCTGTCAATAGTTCATCCTTAATCTCACAGACTGAACCTTTAAAACAATTGTTAGTTTGCAGCCATACTCCAAAGATGCTGCGATGGAGATATGCATTTTTTTAAAAATTAGCAGGTTTGTTTTTCCTCATGAATATGTTAATTTATGCAGCAAAGCACATCAATTTCTACTTAATATAGAGCGAGCATGTGGACAGCCACACGCCAAGACAACAGTCCTCTGAGAGCTAGGCAGGCACTGTTCTGGGAAAAACTGAGTCATTCATTTTGAACAGAGAAGCAGTCTGACACCAGTCTGAGGAGAGAGATGACAAGTATTGATGATGAAGCTCAGATAGAGAAGAGGAGATTCAATTCAAAAGGAGGACAGTATGCATGTGCGACCGTGTGTGTGTGTGTGTGTGTGCCACAGGCAGATTAGCTTTTAGGATGTAGCCTTGTACAGAAAGTCAGAGAACAGATGACAGAGAGAGAGAGCAGAACATCTGGCTGTGCAAGCGGTCAGGCGTTCCCCAAGGCCAAGAGGAGGATTGAACTAAGCCGATCAAAGAGAGAGCAGGTAGATGTACATAGACAAACAATCTTATACTTACATACTGCCCTCTAAATAATCAACAGTAAAGAATACACCCCTACACGCTGTGTGACAGTGATGTTGCAGGTTCATTGCATGCCACACTGCAAAATAGCTCTAATCTTGGTTGCAATCTGTGTCTCACACGGTGCACAATCTGTATTTTTAGGCATGTCAGATTGTTGAGGAATACCTGGTGAATCCAGGCACTGAAACGTAAACAGGAACAGAAATATACAAGCAGATATGCACAGCGGTGGCGTCAGCCAGTGTGTTCTGGATCACTTCAGTTCATTTTGTATTCCAATTTTATTGGTTGGTTTGTAAACGTGGTTCATAGCAGCAGTTACATTGTGAGAATTTGGTCCTACATTTCTGACATTGTCTGTATTTTGATGCAGGCTGTCTTTAGCCACTAAAGCTCTGACCACTATTTTGGTTCTTACCACCTTTCTCTCACACTTTCATCTGGCACAGCCCAAGTAGCCTTAATTAGATGTTAGGGTGTTTCCACAGGATATGAGGAGATAAAACAAAATAAAAGTTGACCTAAAAAGACTGAAAAACAGAGAGCAGGTTGTACATTACAGGAAAGATTAAACATAAGTCTCAGAATGTCATTATAGTCAGCATTAATGTACTAATCAGCTATTTAACAAAGCAATAACAATTGTCTATATATTATTTAAGCCTCATTTCTTTACTTGACTGCATTACAGTTTCACTCTTTTTTTCACTTCCACCTGAGCTCAGTAATCTCATCCAAGCATCTCTTGTGTTTGCATTATGCAGCATGCTGTGTAAAGCAGAGCATTAAATGGCTGCCTCTTATACTGCTGTATAAGGGTCAGTCTTTCACACGCAGAGGTGATAACAGTAGTATATCTCTGCTCTGTTTGGTAAATCTTTTTGGTTCATTATTTTCTGTCATGGGTGTAAAAGTTGCACTGTACAAGGGTCATGTTTACAGAGCTTAGATATTGCAGCAGCAGCAACAAATAAGTAAAAAAAAAAAATAATGATGTTAATGATACTGTATTGTCAGGGATGTGGGGCATGTACTGCTTGTAAAGAATTAATGTGAGGCAGAGTACTATATTATTGAAAGGTGTATTAGCCTGTTAGGGAATGTATGGGATTTTCCTGGGTTTGTTAGAAGGGATGTGAGAGCAGGAGATTATACAGAAAAACCTCTGCATCACTGGCAAGATTATACATTATTTAAGGCATTATTGAAGCGTCTATTTCTCAGGCATGCTTACTTTCCCTTTCCCCCTCTCTCTTTCTGTTTCTCTATCCCCACACCTCACATTTTCCCTCTGTCAAATGTTATCATTTGCTCAAATTCTCTGCCTTGTGATCACTATTTACTTCTCTGTTGATCTGAAAATGTCTACCACACTGAGCTGTGATCGTGTTCAGCTGACTCGTGCCAGCCGGCTTTTCTACATGCCAACAGTGGCAGCAGAATGCTTAGTTTGTGTTTTTACCCTGGTGGCATCTTGCCATCAAATTATTAAATTAAGAGGCAAGGACTCAAAAAACTACACTGCATATGCACTTTAGCTAGAGCTGCATTGATACACAATGATGTGCAACCACCACGGTGAACATAACTCTGCTTCTGTCCTGATCTGGTTCCACTTGACAACAGTTGTGTGGATAATCTCAGCACCTGTTCTAATGTATCTACCGAAACAGAAGAACCAACGCATGACCATATAAAGATGTTAGTACTACTGTACACTGAGCTCACACAGTCCATTTTTAATGTAGCTTTAAAGGTTTATTTCCAGCAGTGATGAATTACACATGCCAGCCATGGACATTTTTGTGCAAACTACTGGCTACAGTACAGTCCTGAATGTCACAGAAACAGACAAGAGTTCAGCATTTTTGGTTAAACACTGCAGACATCCTGGGAAGATCTGTGCAATTAAAGTGACTACAACTCTAACCTCCCTGAGCTTCTACTACCACCGAGGTGCAGCTGGGTTAAAGTTTAACTTCTCTCCAAAGTGCTGCAGCAGAGCTGTGTGGGGACAGCTTGTGTACGGCTGTGGGTGTGCTGGGCAGCTCCCAGCAGTGAATGTGTTTTTACTGTGTGGATCTGAAACAGGACACTGCTGAGAAAGAGCAAACATACTCAGAAAACATTCCTGGGATTAACAGATAAAATGAAGATCAATCTTGAAAGGTCCAGTCTAAAGCTAGCAGTCTAAGTCTGACTTTTATAAAACATACTATACAACTATACAATTATCTTCATGTTTCTCTGATGGCATCTCACCTCCGTTCAACGAGCCATTGTGGGGTAATACTGTTGTGGTGGCATCATGGCTGTCCTGCGCCGTGGTCCCATCAGCTTTGGCGACCTCAGGCTCCTGCAGGCTGTCGTCCTCCACAATGTGTAGCTTGTCCTCGTCGTCAGAGTCTGAACTGGCTTCCAAGCCATTGTTGAAGTTTGTCACTGCGAGAAGACACACACAGAGATGGAAGATGATCTAACACGTACCATCTGGAGTAAGATTTTAGCAGCTACAACTTACATCGCTCATTCAGATTCCCAGTGCAGAGGAGTCAGCTCCCTGCTGCTGCAATCAGAGTCTGATTTACATCAGAGATGAAGAATAAAAAGGAATTAACTGCAATTACTGACTGCCTGTGTGATCAGCATCTGAGCTGCATGGGTAAAAAGCATAGCAATGTGCCTCTATTGGGGGGAGTATAGTCCGACTGCCCCCTTGCGTGCCTCTCCTTCATACATTTCTAGCATAGATGGCACTTCTGGAAGTCTGAACCCAAACAGCCTTTGTATTAGGGGTGGGGGAAAAAATCGATACAGCATAGTATCGCAATATTTTCCAAGGCAGTACTGTATCGATACGGCAAGTATCGATCTTTTATTATATAAATTGTATGTGAGAATTTTAGTTTTGGTACTATAATAATAAAATCAATTGCTTTTTCATTCCACTAAAAAAATAGTTTTCCTTTGAGAACACAATCTGAAGTTGGAAAAAAGGTAATAAATTCCAATAATGTTTAAAATCACAATAATATCGTATCGTGACATAAGTATCAAGATAATATCGTATTGTGGGGCTTCTGGTGATTCCCTCCCCTACTTTGTGCTGTGCTCTACTTACTGTGTTCTACAATAATACACAATGAATTAAATGGCACAACAGTGGAGAATCAAGTTATGCTGCTAATCTTTGAGGCTAAAGATAGCAATGTGTGATCTTGCAGTCCAATTTGAAGCCACCTTAAAATGCAGTTAAAGGCATGCTAATGGAGGTGGATCATATGTTAAGCAAATACAAAAGTACAGGACTGGCCAGGAGAACCTTCAGTCATCTAATGCAAATTTACTGTGAAAATGTGTCAATTATGGCAGCCATAATGATGCTGAGACCTTTATGGTATGGTATTTATATAATTTCCTCAAGACGAGAACCCCACACCTGTGCTCCAAGTGTAACCCTGCTAACCAATAAGAGAAAATTGGATATATGAAAAGCAGTACAGCACACACTAAACCCACCAGGCCACCGTAGATCAGAAAATACACTGTACCTGTTCTCTGTTGCGTTGGTTTAGGATGTCGGATCTTATGTCTTTTCAAGTTAAAAGTACATCTAAATAACTGAAGCATAGAAAGGAAAGCTGGCTGCAGTCCTATGAAATCAGAAAATATAGACATTCAGGTATGTTCATAGGCATTTTCTTTTCTTAGCTACAAGCCACAATTTTTTTCAATCCGATTAACTAACCCAAACAAAAACAGTTTCAACTAGCCTGGACAACCTAAACCATAAAATCCAGATCCTCTGCTGTCATATGCTCCAAACTTTGCAAAAACTTTGCAAAACACAATCTTCGTCACATCCATCAATCGCTGACTCGAGGTACACATTATTTCCTTCTCATCACCTACACAGAGAAAACACAAAAAAAGTCACAAACTGCAGCCATGGGGAAAAATAATCACTTGTATATCAGCCTCAGAAAGCAAATCTATTTTACACTGTGCTGCGGTCAGTGAGTTTGTCTGTGGGGTACAGCTTCTTAATGGGAGCTCAGGGTGAAAAATGGACCAACTGGACTGGTCTGAATGAATTTAGCAGGAGGTGTGTGTGTGTGTGTGTGTGTGAGTTGTAGCTGATAGAGGCATGTGGGTATACGGGGATGTAAGTGATGATGAGCACTATAGGTATTGAATTGCTTTTCTAGTGTCAGCATGTGTGCACGTATGGCTGTTGTGAGCACAAATGAGTATATATGTATGTGAATGAACAAAAAGTGTGCGTGTGTGTGTGTGTGCGCGCGCGTGTGTGTGTGTGTGTGCTCCCCGCAGGGAAGCTGTACATCTTGGCAGAGGTGCTGAAGACGCCTAATGAGGAGGAAAGCTTGGGTTGTTTGTTCACAGGTGACAGGTGCACACACACACACACACACAAACACACGTCCTAAACCACAATACAAGCTCTATGTGTTTGCATAAGTGTAGATCTACACCTCTGCATGAAGTAGGAAGCTATTTCTGGTGGCGCTGTTGAACTCACACACCCTTGCAGCATGCACATAATGCAGATCAGATGACACACACCTACAGTAACCCGCCGATATCTAAGCCACACCCTGAGCACCAACACTTTCTACACACACACACACACACACGCACACACACACACACGCAGTCCTACATCACACTCCAGGAGTGATGTGGTGCTTTCCACAGACGATTCTGTCACTGCTCCAGACAGATGAGCGGAACAGAGAATGCAAAATTATGTGTGTGTGGGGAGGGGGGAGGGTCGATGCACGTCTGGATCGATGTAAGAGGCTGGAGCAGAAAGAGAGGCGCATAATTTGTTTGTGTGCTCTGGTTTGGGGTTTCGTATAGGCCAGATGACAAGAGAAGAAACATGACATGTACACTACCTTACCCGGTTGCTGTTTGAAATCCTGCTGTATGTTGAAGGCCACTACGTAATCATTTTTTTCTTCAAGTATTGTTTAAGTAATTTTTAAGCAAAATTATTGTCTATTAGTTTTCAGTTAATCGACTAATCACTTAATTGATGAATCATTTCGCTTCCCCCTGCATGGTGCACCACAAGTTTAAATCATCCGCATGTTATCATTTAGAGATTAAGATGTGAAGTCTACAGATATTACACCCCCTATTCACATGACTGTCACCTAGGGTGTGTAGCAGCTACCATTTTGGCCTTGCCTGTCTTAAAAAAGAACATAATAGTTAAATAAAGACAGAAACGTTGGAGAATATTGGTCAAAAACAATTAATGTTCAAAGAGTCACTTGTATATTTGCTATCTAATTTGACCCTGAGGCAGAAAACATCTTACAGTTTGTATTACCTGAAAGCTCAGTTGCCTTCTCAGTAACACATTACATCAGTTTACGGTGAGCTGATTACTATATTTGACTACCAGAGTTTAGTGTGAATGAAAATCTCAATGGTAACCTCTGTTTGGCTAGATGCAGACCAGTTAAGTAGTTAATAACTACATTGCAGACCGTCAGCCCAAACACACCCTTAGTTCCTAAAAATCAACAAACTGTGTCTCTCTTCATTCAGACAAAAACACACATTGTTAACCAGACAGGCTTGTGGCAATTCCAATAATAGAAAGGTCTATACTTTCAGATAAACAGTCTGTGTCTGTTCTGGTGACTTATTCTTAACAGTGCTGGCAGGAGGGGAACAACAACCAGCTGAGCTCCAGATAATAAACAATACTGGAGAAGGCACTAAATAAAAGCTCAGGCATTATATCTGTATTTTCTATATTCATTCTGTCATTGAATTTGAAGATTGTGGTCAAATGTTGTCAAAGTATCTGATAGAATTAACCTTAATTGTACAGGCTGAATAATATCACATTATTGGTTGAATTATTATTATTTTTTTAATGATTTTACTTCCATATTGTGATTAAACAATCTTTTACAAACTTCAACTGCAATTCCTAAACTTTTATGGGTTTGATTGTAATAGTTTTCTCTATTTAACCACAGATGTGTGCAAAATACCAGAGGGTGCTAAGAAGAAAGAAGTACCTGTTAGCATTAAAATATTCAATGAAACTGCTCAGTGTCCACAATATTATAATGAGTCTCATCAGTCAGATAACATTCTCTATTCTAAAATTAAAAATTAAGCACTTAGGCTAGTAAAATTAAACAAAACAATTAACTAAATTAAATAAAAGTGAAATAAAAATATAAATGTGTTTTCTACTTTCTAACTGGAACATTAAACTGTGCTAAACAAGCTGAATGCAGCAACATTAGCTCTTATTTCTCTCTTGTTCCTTTGGATTTAATTACAGACAGATCAGGTTAGTAAAAATGAGCATGCTTTGTGTGGTTTAATGACATTGGATTTAAGGATTTCTGGGTATTGAAGTCAACTGGTTTCCCCTCAGTACAATTTTGAGAAGCAGACCTACTCCTGTTGCTGTTCACATGTCACAGTTTTTCAGAATAATTTAAATCTAAAGTCCGACAAATGCTCTGAAGGCATCTTAGTGATAAATCCACAAACATAAAGACAGCAGCACAACCTGACAACAAATAATCCTCATCAGCCCTGCGGTGCTTTCTCTGCTCGATTGGCCGGTGTGCTTTTACCATACAAACAGACAGGAGGCGGCAGTGAGAGGACTAGGAGAGACGAAAAGACTCCCGACACACTTGATGGAGACAGAGACAACTTTTCTTCTGTGTGTGTTTGTGTGTGTGTTTGTGTGTGTGTATTTTGTAGACAGAGAGAAAGAGAGCCCCGTCCACATCATCATGACAATGCGTCAAGTGAACTGTTAATCCTCCATCTGGAGGTCTGTACAGAGGAGAGGCCAGAGAACAGAGGAGGGAAGTCTAGACGATAGCATTCCTCCCTTCCTGCCATCCATCTCTCTGATTAAAGAATCTGTTTCATAACAAGACCCTTCATCATTAGTATGAACTAATGTTTATTCAGATTTCTTTTATGATTACTGATTAGATTTCTGCCACTTCAAGACTGAAATCTGTCATAACGCACTGGGCTACCCTGTCCTGCGCCTTCTTCTGTTTGTTGAGTGAAATCATGTTTGTTTCACTTTCAGTTCTCCATTAATGAGAACATATACCACAAAATAATAAAACTGTGCTTAAATTGTACGGCCAACAGCACTCCGCTAGCACAGTGAGATTTCCCCTCAATTAAAACAAGGGAAACGTTACAGAAAAGATGGAATTTATAATATCCTGTCTGCCTCGTCTGACTTTATTTGATTTAACCTTCAATTAATTATGTAATCAGACTGAAATTTTAAAAAAAGCCACCCCCTCTGCATCTACCTTGCACTGTATACAGTATCCACTGAACTGCCCCTTCATATAGTTTCTTCTTTTTACCGTCCAATGACTGGAAAAGGGAAAAAAAAGTAACAGCTA